TGTCTGCCGTGTCTGCTGTCCGGATGCATACTTGTTTCTCTCTCGCTGGCTATCCCTCTCCTCTTCTCTCTCTCTCTCTCGCTTTCTCACGTTCCCTTTTTTGTTTATGTCTCTCTCTTTCTCTTTCTTGTTTCTCTCTCTCTCTCTCTTTTTCTCTCTCTCTCTCTCTCTCTTTCTTCCTCTTTCTCTCTCTCTCTCTCTCTCTTTCTATATATGTATATATAGTATGTCTATATGTATGCATGCATGTGTGCATTAAAATGGATGTATTGTGCAAATTATGTGTATATATACATTAAAATTGAAAAAAGACTGAGTAGGCCCGGAGGGGGCCAGGGTCGGTGCCGTACCCTCCCCCCATGGAGGCATCGGGGGGGTCCCAGGGTTCCCGGGACTGCCCGGGCCCATTCCCAAACACGCCGCGACACGCCACGAGGGCCCTAAAGACTGCCAAGGCAGCCCCAAGAGGCCCCAGACACGCCGAAGATGGCTTCAGGACGGCCGACGGCGCCGCCAAATCGCCCCAAGAGCGCCTCCACTGGCCCTTCCAAAGGGCCCCAGATGCCGAAAATGATCAATTGTCCGATGGTTTTTGAAGTATATTTGCGCTCTCGCATGTTCCGCCTCCCCACGGTCCCGGACGGCGTCAGGGGCCCTTCAGATCGCTACAGTACGGCCGAAGAGGCTCCCAAGAAAGTCCAGAGACGGCCCAGGAGGCTCCCCAGATAATTCAAGAGGGCCTCGAGAACGCCCCAAGAGAGGCCCAAGAGCGACCCGAGAGGGCCCGAAGAGCGCGACATTTCAAGGTCTCCCGCCTGAGAGGCTCCTGGGACGCCCCTGGAGGCCATCAAGACGCTCCCAAGAAGCCCCGTGAGGCTCCCAAGAGGCCCACCAGAAGCCCCAAGGGGCCCCCAGGAAAGCCCCTGCGGGCCCACAAGACACCTCGGTAAATTGTATTTCCCAGACAGCTTTCTAGGAACATGATTTTTTGGATTTCCGCCCGCCGCCCCAACCATGTTTCCGACAAGGCCAAAAGGGGCCCATCGGTAAGTCCCCACAGGCCACACTCGTAAGATAGCGGAAGACATCATGCTCCGGAAAGCTTCTTGGGAACATGATTATCGGGTTGCCGCCCTCTGCCCAAACCATGTTCCCTAAACGCCTGCCAGGAAGAAGAAGGAGATATAGTATGTGTGTATTGTTTTGTTTGTTGATATAGTTTAATAGCAATTATACTGGTAACAATAATAGTACTGATTGAAACAATAGTACTACGAATGCTTATAATAACAATAGTACTAACATATAGACATATTACTTCTTTTTTAACAAAAGAGCAACACCAAAAACAACGATTGACCCTAGCAGCGCTACCTGCCGCCACGCTCGGAAACGCGTCAGGTCCCGAAGCCTCCCGAGGCGCCCAAAGACACCCCAACACATCATGTTCTCAGGAAGCCTTCCAGGAACATGATTCCTCAGGCTTCCGCCCCTGTCCCCAACCATGCGTCCCAAAATGCTTGCCGGGCAGCCCCCAAATGGGCCCTCATACACGCCACCATGTTACCAGAAAGCTCTCCGATAACATGATTCCTCAGGCTTCCGTTCCCCGAACGCAACATCTGTCCCAAAGCGCCTGTCCAGCAGGACTCGAATGGGCCTCAATTACTTTCCTAGAGGCCCCACAAGATGCTGATGAAGACGATGATGATAACGAAGGTAACGATGATGATGGTGACGGTGATCGTGATGGTTGTGATGATGCTGACGACGATATCCACGACCACGTTGATGATGATGAGGAGGAGGATGACAATGCGGAGGGTAATGATGGTGTGGATGTTGATGCTCATGATGATGGCGATGGTGCTGCTGCTGCTGCTACTGCTGCTGCTGCTGCTGATGATGATGATGATGATGATGATGATGATGATGATAATGATGATGATGCTGAGGCGGACGACGATGATGATGATGATGATGATGATGATGACCACGACGATGCCGATAGCGATTACGATGACGATGTCGAAGCTGAGGATGAGGATGAGCTCCCCACGAGGTCCCAGGAGGTCCCCAAGGGTCCCCAAAGGGAAGCCCCCAGATGACCCCCGAGACAGCTCAACACTTCATTTCCCCATAGAGTTTGAAGGGGACACCATATCTTATGCCTCCGCGCCCCCAGACCACCGCGAGGACAAGAACAAAGACGAGGGAAAGGACGAGAGGAGCAGGACGAGGAGTTGGAGAAACGGAAAGGGCGGGAGAGGATAGGGCGACAGGCGCTGCGCCCCGCGCACGCCGCGACGCTGCCCGAGGGAGACGGGCGGGGAGCCGGAATCGGACGGGACGGAGGAGAATCGGGCGAAGAGAACTATGCACATGCACCTATCCTGGCAAGGCCCATCCTTGACCCAAGATCGGTGCATATGCCTTCCTGGCCAAGGTAGGAGGGCGTATGCACCGATCCTGGGCTCAGGATGGGCCTGGCCAGAATCGGTGTATGTGCATAGTTCTTTTTCCTCTAGAGAAAGGGGAGGAGGGGGTGGGAAAGGAAGAGGAGGACGAGGAGGAGGAGGAAGACGAGAAGAAAAACCAGGAGCAGGGGCAGGAGCGGGAAGGGTAGGAAGAGCAGCCCGGGGCCGGCTCTTCGTCTTGGGTCGATTCAGGACGAGCTTGGAAGACGAGAAGGGCCTCCCAGGGTCTCCAGCAGCGATGACGCGCCCGACCCGGGGTCGTCCAACTGGGGCCGCGGACGACAACGACGACGACGACGACGAGGACGACGACGACGACGACGACGACGACGACGAGGACGACGACGACGACGACGAGAGGCAGGCGGAACTCCGACATGGAACAGGGGACGGAGGCGCAGGGCAGAGGGCAGCCGGCCGTCGTCGTCGTTGGCCGGGGGAGGGCTCAGAATTGCGCCCCCTGGTCCGCATGGGGGGCCGGGGGTGCCTCGAGGGCTCCAAGAGGGTTCAGAAGGGGCCCCGGCCCCTCCCGAGGCTCCCAAGCTGGCCCAAAAGACGCCCAAAGCCTTAGGTTGTCTGAAATGTGGCTGAAGAGCGCACCGAGATTTCGTCCGGACGGGCCACGAGCGCTCGAAGACAGCCCAAGACTGCTCCTAGACGGCCACAAAGGCGTTCAAGACGGCCCAAGAGGCCGCCGGGAAGGCCCTCCAAGGGCATTTCCCATGGAAAGCACGCGTCTGTCCTGGATATTTGCTTTTCAGCCCCACCAGCGGCCGCGATGGCCCCAGAGGCTCCCGAAATGAGCCCTAGACGGCCCAAGAGGCCCCCAAGAGGGCCACCAGACGGCCTGAAGAGAGCTTCAAGCAGCACAAGAGAGCTCCAACACGGCCCAAGAGAGCACCCAGGAGCCCAGAGGGGGCCACCAGAGGATCCCTACATGGTTGGAGAGGGCCCCCCGAGGGCCCCAAGACGGGCCCAGGTCCCCATGACGGGCGAAGAGGGTCCCAGAACAGCCGAATTGAGCCCCAAAAGGGTCCAAAAAGGCCGACCAGGACTCCCTGAAGACAGTCCAGGAGGGCGCTGAGAAGGCTCCCGGGTGCAAAAAAAAAGAGAGCATTGCCCATGGAAAACACACACATTTCTATGACATTCGCTTCTTATGCTCCATTGGCGGCCACGTCGGCCCCAAAGGCTCCCCAAATCGGCGCCACACGGTCCACGAGGCCCCCCAAAGGGCTCCAAGACAGCATCAAGAGAGCGTCTCTTGGGGCGTCTTGGAAGCCTCTTGGGCCGTCTGGAAGCCATCTTCAGCGTCTTGGAGCGATCGTTCGGCGGTTCGGGGCACTCTTCAACCGTCCTCGGGGCTTCTTTGAACGGGCGAAGAACGGTATAAAATAAGCTTTTTCGCCGTCGGGGGCACCTGTCCCAGGGCGGCTGGAAAGTTTATACCCTTACGGTGGCACCGTAAGGGTATAAATTTTCCAGCCGCCCAGGGGCAGGTGTCCCCGACGGCGAGAAAGTTTATGTTATACCGTTCTTCGCCCCAATTCTTGGCGCCCTGTTGGCCAGTCTTGGGGCCCTCTTCGGCCCCGATGCGGCCACGCGACAGGACATGACGCAGAGGGCAGCCCGAGGGGCACGCGGGAAGCCCCGCGGGGGGCGCGCGGCAGGCGCCGGCAGATCCGTGCATTTTGGGGTCCTGGCCTTTTGAAAGGCTCCTCGGGGGTGGGGATTTAAAACGACGCGGAGATCGGGACAAAATCGGATCGAAAACGACGCGAAGATCGGGACAAAATCGGATCGGGATAACTCGAAATCTCTGAGAATCGGCGGGTTTGGAGGGTGTATTGGGCGCCGCGGCCGCTCCAGAGCGTTCCGGAACGCTCTGAGAACGCTCCGGAACGCTCTGGAGCGATTTATCCCGATCCTAGCCCTGTTTTAGGATTGAGGCTTAGAGGAGTGTTGTCGTATATAGAATACAGAACTGCTGCCTTTCATTTCGCCTCGTGTTCTGCTCTCGCTCCTCTGGATGCGGTCCAGGGTCGATTTCTGCGCTGACCACTTTCGCCCTGGCACCTCTTAGCACCAGGTAGGCCCAGGACCTGAGGACACGCCCACTCCGTGCCCAGCGGCACGGTGGCGGATCTAGCCCTCCGAATTCAACCGGCTCCCTGACTCGCGGAGGAGCTGACCTGTTACGATTCCGGATGCGTCTGCGAAGCCTGAGTCCGCAGGGCCAAAGAAGGCCCCAGATGGCCCCAGGGGGCCCAAGATGGCCACTCGATGGCCCGACGGGCTTCCCAGAAGGCTCCCCAGGGAGGCAAAAGTCGGGTGTTATCCGCAGGTTTCGATGCAGTTGTCGCATCTTCGGCTTCTCGGTCTCCAGAGCGCCCGAGACGGCCGAAGAGGCCCCCGAGATCGCTCCAAGATGGCCCAGTAGGCGCCCAAGAGGACCCCAAGACGAGCCCAGCACGGCCCAAGAGAGGCCCGAGACGGCCCCGAGACGCTCCAAGAGGGCCTCCAGAGGAAGGGTCCGTAGCCCTTCTGGCTCAAGTCTTCGCATAGACGACTCGGTCAGTCCAACCCGCCAATCCGTACATAATTTCCTTGTTCCCCGGAAAGGGGTCCTTCCGAGCGCCCTCGGCGTCCTGCCGAGTCTGAGCATGGGACAGCCAGACATCGACCTGAGCATTGATCAGGAGCCAGTGCCCAAAGCACATTGGTGCAGAATGAAGGCAGTTATCGCGGCCATGTTCATGGTGCTTGTTGGCGCAGCTCTTGGTGTGGGCATGACGATCATGATTATGAGTTTGGAGAACGAAGATGTCGACTGCCAGACCGCATGCCCCGCGTCGACCGACTCTGGCTCGTACACCGCTTGCTGGAAGCCCATGCTCGAGATCAATGAGTACGGCTTCCCGTTCTTGCAGCAGCATGTGGCCACCTTCCTCCAGAATGCTACGGATTCCATGCTCGCAATGAGTTCGTTGCCGCCGATGGGCCGCGTGTCGCCGCCAGCTTACGACTACGCTGCGGACGCCCGCGAGGTCGCCCGCGTGATGTCGACTATCGTGACACAGGCGCAAAAAGACGAGGTGAAGTTCTTCGACAGCAAACTAGACGTTGCTCTCGCCATCATCGGGACGCTTCTGCTCGGATACGGGCTGCCCATCGAAGAGATCGTGCTGCACTCCATCGGCGAAACCAGCGCGGTGCACGATGCAGGGATTGCTATGTGGAAGAGCAAGCTACTGCACTCAAGGATTAGGCCGACCTCTGTGGTGCAGAGGCTTTTCCCTGATGAGACCTTGACTATCAACGATGGCGTCGAGATCCTTGGCAAGCGCTTCCAAGCGCTCCTCCGTGTGATGCCGCACTCGGAGTTTCCTTCTGGCTCATCTTGCATGTGCCAGGCAATCGATGAGTACATCACTGACTTGTGGCCAGCACTGTCACTGCACTCCATGGGCGCGCCAGTGACGTTCGACGCGGAGGTCACCCACGTCGTCTTACCAAATCCATCGATGGCAAGCGTTCCCCTGACTGGCACTGCCAACCCGGCAGCTGAGGGCTATACCTCGCGGACCCTCAATGAACGCTGCGGCGAATCTCGGCTCGAGGGCGGCATGCACTTCAATGCCTCTGTGCCAGCGGGCCGCGAGCTTTGCTCCGGCATCGGCGCGAAGGCCGCGCAGACCACAAAGTTGCTCGCGCCTTTGCCTGCGGCAAGCAGTGCTACACTTCGCTCCGTCATCGCCTCGACGCCGCCATGCGCAGCGGACTGCTGTGCAGACAGCGCCCCGTGCACCCAGGCCGAACAGGCCGCGTGCGCCTCGAATTGCACCGGCGCCTGGAGCCTCCCGTGGTTCGACGTCGTGGACGTGCGCGTGAAAGCCTTCGGCCTTCCTGACCGGGAGATTGCCACCAGCACAGCCGCTCCATTTTTCCAGGCCGACCGCAACCACCTCGTAGTAGTAGGCCTCTTCGGCGCAGTTGTGCCCGCCATCCAACGTCACGAGACTATATCTTTCAGCTCCGGTTCACGAACACGATTGACAATTTGGTTTGGAATTCGATTGCAGCAAATTCGGAGGCACTCTTGGCACTGAATTTCGGCCAGAGCAGAGTTCCCGCAGAGCCGACCATCCGCTCTGGAGTCAGCACTTCTGACGCAAGGGTTGTCACAAGCGTGCATGCCGTAGCGGCCGCGCTGCCTCTGCTGCTCCCACAGTCGATCGAGGATTTCCAGCAAAGCCTGGGTTTCTTGGTCTTGTCTCCAACGATTGGGATCGATGACAGTTTGGTGGGAGCATGCGGCCACGTTGCTGACGCTCAGGTGTTCGACCGTGGTTGCATCTCGACGTGGTATGAGTCTGATCCTAAACCTTCCCGCCTTGGCCAGACCATTGCGTACGAGCTCATGTTCCACAAAACGCGCGATGGCTGGAATTCTCTCGGCACCGACGGCTGCGATGTTGGCGAGCACTTCTGCTTCAGCTTCTCGGACACGCGTGGCTGGGACCCCGAGAGCGGACCTTGCGCCAGCGAGTTTGTACAATAAAGGCGCTGTTTTATAGTTGCACCAGCACGTTTATGAGTTTAATTTATAATCTTTATTTGTTGGTGTAATATCCAATGTTGGCCTTGCTCTGATGGTGCAGGGTGCACTCCTGCGTTTGCGATGCACGAAAAAAGAGGGCCCCCAGAAGGGGGCTCCAAGACGGCCCAAGAGCGCCCCAAGACAGCCCAACTGGGCCCCCAGACCGCCCCAGAACAGCCCCCAGAGGCCCCCAAGATGGCCCTGAGGGACCAAGACAGCTCCAGAGGGACCCAAGAGGGCCCAGGAGGCCCCCAAGACGGTTTGAAAACAGCTTCAAGTGACCCAGAAGAGGGCACATTCGGGACTTTGCACCAGTACGGCGACCGTCAGAAAATCAATATCAATATGAACGCTCCTAGAGGGCCCCAAGATGGCCCCAGGAGGGTTCCAAGAGGACCCCAAGAGCGGTCACGCAAGTTGTCTCGCGAGAGTGGTGTAGGTGTTGGTGTTGTTGTTGGTGTTGTTGTTGTTGCTGCTGCTGTTGTTGCTGCTGCTGCTGGTGCGGCTGGCCGTCGGGGCCCAGGGAGCTCCCAGACATTTGTAAGCGCCTTGAGAAGTCTCGAGACCCCGAAAAAAACTCCCCGATTCCCCAATACAGCCCCAAGAGGCCCCAAAAGGTTGCCTAAAGGCTCCCAGGAGGCCTCCCAACCCCCAGAAGCGTATGTGACGTCTCGCGTCTACATCCTGCACGGCGTCCCTAGAGAGGCTTGTAGAGGCCCCCAACTTACGATCAATGTCAGGGCTTCCAGAGGCCGATGAGAAACACGCAACGAGGCCCCGAGACGCCCCGAGCCCACGATGCGGCGGGATGCGAACCTTGGCTCTGAGGCTGTCGGTAGAGCTCCCAGAGGCGTACGATCCGTGTGAGGAGACAGTCAGCATACACATGGGGGGCGTCTCGTCATGCGGCTCCTCCCACTAGGGCTGCACGTGAAACGACTTCCCTCTGGGGCACGATCCGTGTCAAGGGTGTGCCGAGATGAAGGAGGGACGCCGTGCGAACTTTGTCCGTTGCGCAAGAAATGTACAGATGAGGCAGTTATTGAACGGGGATCTCCCTTTGATCTTTCGGTGACATGTATGATCTTACCTTCGCGCGTTCCGTCTTACTCGCAAGAAAGATGCACAGCAGCGCTTTGATACAAAACGGAGCCATCGAGAGATGGCAAGCACAGGGTGTTGGTCTTTCAAGAGGGGTTTTTTGAAGTGGAAAAGAACTTGTGCTCGGGATCCATGAGGAGGGGACTTGAGACGGGTCGGCGCGTTAATCTTGACGCATCTAGGGTTTAATATGATGAACATGTCCTCCCTCCCCCCGTCCCTCTTTTCCTCATAATCATCATCAACAGCAGCATCAGCATCGTCATCATCGTCATCGTCCTCCCCATGTGTTGCCATTCTCAGGTGGAAGGAGCAGAGGGGTGAGGGGAGAAGAAAAGAAAATAAAGAGGAGGAGGAGGAGAAAGGATGAGGAGAAGGCCGACGGTAGGATTAGAAGATCATGCAGGGGGCGGCGTGTTCTCGCGTGCCCGGGCGGGGGCTTCTCACGACACAACCCCGAGAGCCGTTCGTCTCGTGCGCCGCGCCAGCGGCCGAGTCGGGGGGGGTGAGGGGCCTTTGGAAGCTGAGACCCACCCGCCCCTGTCAGGCGATCGCAAACATGGATCAAGGGGGCGTCGCCTCCGAACGATGCGGCACTGGCCGCATTTTGGAGAGCACACCTCCCACGATCCATGGATTTGGCGACCGCGCGCCATATCCATGCATCGCTATTCTATGCTTGCGCGCCCCCGACCCTGCCAGTCCGAGACGCCCCCTCTTTGCGGAGACACGGGCGGGTACGGCAATCGGCCAGACTCTGAGAGCTTGGGCCCGATGGCCAGATCGCTCTGGGCCGACCAGCCAGGGGCGAATTCGGAAAAATTCGAGGCGCTTTGCAGCGCTCGGCGGCGGCCGGCAAGTGGATCGTCCTCCTCCTCCTCCTCTTCCTCCTCTTCCTCCTCTTCCAACTCCTCATTCTCCTCCTCTTCCTCCTCCTCCTCCTCCTCCTCGGTCCCGCCAGCGCATCCACGCTCGAGGCCAGTGTGCCCGCACATCGCGCCCAAAAGGAAAATCTAGGTTTGGCCTCTCCACACGCGGCGGCGGCCGGCAACTGGATCAGACAGGTTCTCGCTAGGGAAGCGGCGCATGGTGGAGTATTCCGTGGGCCCGCGGCGCGCGATCGACGGGGCACCAGTGCGCCTATTTCGACGCGCAGCCGCTGCGCGAGTGAACCTGCGAAGTGCGAGCGCACCCACCCTCAGCAGCACGCGCAAGTCAATGATTGCAGCGCCGCCCCAGACCGAACGGCCCAGGGCGGCCCGAGCCGGTCGCGCAGGGCCAGCGTGCTTGCGCCGGCGGCAGTGGATCGGACACGCTCCCGGTCCCGCCAGCGGAACCGCGGTGTGGGCCAGCGCGCCCGGCAGCGCGCAGACCGACCTGCTGCGCTTGTTTGAGGGCCTGGGCAATGGAGAGGGCGCATCGCTGCGCGTTGGGCTTGTGGCACCTCCCTTCCGCCCCCCCTCCTGCTTGCCCCCCGCCCCCCCTGCCGCCCGGAAAGGTCCGGGGCCGCCGCCGCGGTTCGACGCCGCCGCGGTTCGACGCGCGTGACAGGTTCAGGCGGGATTGGGGTCAGGCGCTCTGGCGGACGGGCCGCCCCCCACCGTTGCGCCCCTCGGCTGCGGGGAGAAGTTGACGGGCTGGCCAGGATCGTCATTCGGGGGGGCAGGAGATTGATGGCGCGGGCGGTCCCTGCGTATATTTGGTCACCCCCTGCATCGCGAAAGCGCGAGAGCGCGAAGCTTGGCGACCCAGCGCGTGGGAAGCAGGCCCGAAGCAGAGCACGGCGCACGTCGACCTGCGAGCTGTCGGCGAGAGGAGCGAGGAGCAGGGCGCAGAGAGAGAGGGGGATCGGATCGGATCGGTGCTCCGCGAAGGAGGGGTCAAGCCCGGTTTGCCGTGCGAGCGCCAAGCCCGGCTGGGCCCGACGGTCGAAGATCGAATACACGTAAGAGTGACTTTTCGCCAGAGTGACCTCTGGTGCGGGCCCAATGGGGCCCACCGATCGCCGAGCGCGATGCGCTAGCAGCGTCTTGCGAGCTCGGGTTTGGCCCCTCTGCGGCTTTACCCAGGGCCACGCGAACAGCGCATGTTTTTGTTTCTCCCCATGTCGAGCACATGGGCGGAGGAGGAGGAGGAAGAGGAGGAGGAGGAGGCGGAGGAGGAGGACGAGGAGGAGGAGGGGAGGAGGAGGAGGGGGAGGAGGAGGAGGGGGAGGGGGGGGGAGGCGAAGGGGGAGGAGTGGGGCCGTCGACGGCCTGCCGTGCCGCCAGCCCGCCGCCCCGCCTGGCGAGGAGCACGGCGGCGGCGCACCCCAGAGGCCCGCCGTGGGCGGGTGCTGCATCCCAAGATCCGCTTCTTTCAGATGGGGTTTTCGCCGTCCCTCGTCCCCACAGCTCCTCCTCCTCCTGCTCCTACTACTGTTATTAATATTACTACCACTACGACTACCACTACTACTACTATTACTACCACTACTACTACTACTACTACTACTACTACTACTACTACTACTACTACTACTACTACTACTACTACTACTACTACTACTACTACTACTACTACTACTACTACTACTACTACTACTACTTCTACTACTACGACTACTACTGCTGCTACTATTATGACGACTACTACTACTACTACTGCTGCTACTACTACTACTACTATCACGACTATCAGTATTACTACTACAACTGCGACTGCGACTGCGACTACTACTACTACTACTACTACTACTACTACTACTACGACGACTGCTACTACTAATACTACTGCTACGACTACTACCACTACCACTACTACTACTACTACTATCACTACTACGACGGCTACTACTACTACTACTACTACTACTACTACAGAAGCTACTACTACTACTACTACTACTACTACTACTACGATTAGTACTTGTCCTACTAGAACCACTACTATTACTACTACTACTACTACTGCTACTACTACTACTACTACTATTTCTACTGCCACTACTATTGCTACTACTTCTACGACTACGACTACTACGTCTACTACTACTACTACTACTACTACTACTACTCCTACAACTACTACTACTACTACTACTACTACTACTACTCCTACTACTGTTACTACTATTGCTATTATTATTACTACTACTACTACTACGACTACTACTACTGCTACTACTATGACTACGACTACTACTACTACTACTACTACTAACACGACTACTACTACTATTGCTACGACTATTACTACAACTACTACTACTACTACTACTACTACTACTACTACTACTACTACTACTACGACTACTGCCAGCACGATTGCGGCTGTTACTCATACTACCACTACTACTATTACTATTACTACTACTACTACTACTACTACGACTACTACTACTACAACTACTACTACTACGACCACGACTACGATTATTACTACTACTACGACTACTCCTACTACTACTACTACTACTACTACTACTACTACTGCTACGACTACTACTACTACTACTACTACTCCTATTACAACTACTACTACTACGACTAGTACTAGTCCTACTAGAACCACTACTACTACGACTACAACTACTAATACCGCTCATAGTACTATTGCTACTAACGACTACTACTACTACTACTACTACTACTACTACTACTGCTAGTACGGTTCACGACTACGACTAGTACGACTACTATTGTCAATTCAACTACGCTTACTACTACGACTACTACTACTACTACTACGACGACCACTACTACGACTACGACTACTACCACCACTACTACTACTACTACGACTACTGCTAAAACAACTACGATTCTTACTCATACGACTACTACTACTGCTGCTACTACTACTACGACCACTACTACTACTACCACTACTACTACTAATGCTAGTACGACTAGGACTACTGCTACTAGTACTTCTACTACTACGACTACCAGTACTATTACGACTACCATTTCTTCTACTACTACTACTACTATTTTTACTAAGTGCTACTACGATTCCTTCTATTGGTACTACTACGACTATTACTATTACTACT